TAGTTTTTATAAGCTTTTAAGGCAGGGGTGTCCAATCTTATCCGCAAAGGGCCGGTGTGTATGCAGGTTTTTGGGATAACCTGTAGGTCAGCTGTTCAAACCCAGGTGTGAGGACTCTTCAGCCAATCAGTCCTCTAATTAGTAATCTAATTAGGGAGTTGCAACGAAAACCCGCATACACACCGGTGTTCTGTCGATATATGCTGCCTTGTCGAAAAATGCTACCGTAGTGCTAATCGATAGCCCTAACACTAACTCTTACCCTAACCCCCCAAAACCCCTACCTTAAACCTAACCCTAATCCCAAGACGGTGGAACTGCACGTGCGCAGAAAAGCTCGATAGCACGTCTCGATAGGTAGTATTTTTCAACAGAACACCGGCCCTTTGCGGATAAGATTGGCCACCCCTGTTTTAAAACATCCCAACCTGCAAAGGGTCATTTACCTATACATAGGTAGCCCTATACCTATGAAAACCATATCTCATTATTTCAATTAATAAATCTAAAATAGCCTGTAGCTATCACATGATATTTCAGTCATATATACTGCCAACAATAAGCAACAAAACACACCTGGCATGCCTATATCAAGAGAAATCTTTCTCCAACATATCGTCTTCCTCCCGATGTCCCGGTAAGACGATAATGCCGTGTTATAGATTTCTGGATATTCAGAGACTGACAAGATGAGTTTCTCCTCCATACTCGCTTTGTGTGTGGGTGTGTTTCGAAGGGGCAGACCGAACACTAGCCCGCTTCGATGCTTTGATTCTATTGGTCGCGCGAAAATGCGTCACGGCGCGCAGCGGTCAAAGTTCAACAAATTTCAACTTTGACCGCGGTGCGCGCACAAGGCCGCCGAGCGCTGTGCTCGGCGCAGCGCAAAATCGCTCTTGCGCCGCGCAAGCCATAGAGAATAATAGGTTTCAGAGCAAAGCGCTGCGCATGTCGCGTTCGGTCTGAAAGCCGCTTTACGGTGAGCGGCCGCTCGTTTTTTCACGTCGATTTTAATGTCCGACCACTTCTTTTTAATTTTGGCCACCGTGCCATTTTCAGAACCAACACTTTTAACTGACTCTGCCACGCTGTGCCACTCCGTCAACTTTCGTTTATTGCTGATGCCACTTATACCACCAAATAATATCACTTTTCTTTTCTCGATTCTGTTAACATGACCTCTACTTCGCACTCACTGAAATACTTCTTTTTCCCACGTGGTTTATTCATTGTTGTTTAAGAAAAACATAGAACAAA